TCAGCCTAACGGGAGCCAGCATTCCTGTGGGCCAAGCCGCACCAGCTGACGAGTCGCGCGCCTCACTGCCTTACAAGCAGGATCCCAAAGAGAGCTGGGAAGCCAGAGTGGATGGGGCTGGATGATACGCTTGAATAAAACAAGTCCCACCACGATGCGAACGGCAGCCCCGGCGGGTCAGCCAGGAAGCACGCTGCACCTTAGTTTAGTGACAGAGAACTCCTAACCCACGCCAGTTGCGTTTCCACTTTTTAATTCTGCTATTTTCTCTTAAAACTTAGGTTTTAACAAGGATGACAGGCCTAAAGTTTGCCAAATCCCAACTGGGAATTCAGAGCATAGAAAAAGACAAAGCTCCAGCAAAAAATAGAATATGCACAACTCACTTTAGAAAATAGTTTAGGTACATTCTGGTTATAAAACTCATTTACAGATTATTCACATGTATTTATCAAAATTCTCCTGCTAATAATGAAGACATGTAACTAAATAAACTGTGCACAGTAAACCCCAGGCAGGTCACACATGGAAAAGCAAAGTCAGTAGAATGTATTCATGATGGAACAACTGGTATGGAAGCAGACAGGCACTTCCTTCCGCATCGCACCCTGGCCGGCCCGGAGCAGGCAGCCTTTCCACCAGCTGCGCTCAGCTGCCACCGCACCGCTGGGACAGCCCAGCGAGGAAGCCACACCGGACACTCGGAACGCTCTATGCAAATGCTTTTACTCAACACCCAATGGTTCCAAAGGCAAGGGCAGGTACACTGTGTCCTGCCGGGAGAGCTGGCAGGGCACAGGCTTACCCTTGGAAAGGGTTATGCGGGTCTCCGACTACATCATGCATCGTCAGACCAGGGGAGCCAACACGCGTGAGACAGGCCTCGAACTTAACTGGGAATAACACTGTTGGGCATGGCAGCAAAGCACGCACCCGGGGACACCTGCTTCTGCAGCCGCCTGCTGTAGCAGAGGGTGGCAATCCTCACCAACAGTCTTGTCTGCCTCCTTCACTAGCTTGCAGAGCTGTTAAGACTCGGAACTGCTGTCACACTCCAAGTATCTGCTAAGCGGAGCGTTTTACCGGGAGAGGAGAGTAAACTTAAAGTAACACTGAGATGTCTTCCCACGGCCCTGCCCCTCCCTGCGCCTTCTCCTGCGGCCCAGCCAGGACAGCTGTCCCAACCCCGGGAACACCTGCTCCCCGGG